GAATCACTTTGTTCCAGACAGGGTAATTAATCCATATCACTAATATTGGCATAGTATTTTGAGTCATATGTTGGTGAAGTAAAGCATCTTGAATGATTGGTTTGTTTGTTTGTTTGTTTGTTTTCTTATAAGCAGCTCTGTAAGCTGAATGTCAAAACTAAAGAAACTTGGGTATGGCAAGAGCCTGATTCATATCCATCGGAACCCATCTTTGTCTCTCATCCAGATGCCATGGAAGAAGATGATGGTAATAAGAGCAAGAGATGTGTCTGATCACTTCCTCTTTACTAGACTTTTACCTGTTGGTCCACTGAGAGAGGAATTAGGTTGATTACACCCTAATATTCGAAATTATCCTTAATCCCATTGAATGAAGCAAGTCTGAAGAATTTAAACAAGGGATGGATAGCAAACAAATTTTGTTTTGTGGTCTAGTCTCATTGATTAGAAGAGTCTAGGTGAAGAAGTGTGAGAGTTGAAAAAAAAAGTTAAGGCACCATTTGGTGTTATGATGAATTGTCAAGGTCTGTTCTCAATGAGAGAAAGAAAGAGGAAAAAAGGCAACACGAATTCTAGGTTTTTATCTTTCATAATCTAGATATATTTCTTACAAAGAATAGAGTTCTAGTGAGGAAAACTGAATATTAACCAAGCAAAGAGAATGACAGTGTGGTTTTATGATTCTCATTTTAGTTTGTTCTTTCAGTAAACTGGACTAGAAAAGGTTCCAAAGTTACAACTTATAATATAGCAACTCAATTGCAAAACATCATTGATAGTTAACTATTGGTTAGCTGGGACAGGGAGGTATATAGGCACTCTAAGATTAAGGTTTGGAAAACAAAAAATAATAAATTTAAAAAAATAAGATACAAAATTGTAGAGCCATTTCATGCTAAGCAAATTTATGTATACAGCTTATTCAGTCACAACTACAAAAAACTTGCTCCTCATTTTATTTGAAAGAAGTAAAACTCTAGCTAGGTCTTAGACATTATAGAAAAAAATATACCTTACTGTGTGAAAGTCTTCTAAAATACATTTTTGTTTGATTACCACAACACTCCTTTTGAAGTATGTTCATTCAGTTACTGTCTTAATTACCTAGTGTTGCTGTAACAAAAAAAGACCACAAGTGGGTCGCTTTAAAGAACAGAAACTTATTTTTTCATAGTGCTAGAGGTTAGTCTCAATCAGGCTCTTGGTTGAATTAACATCTTCTGTGGGCCTCTCTCCCAGTTTCTGATGTCTACCAGCAGTCCTTGGTGTTCCTTTGTTTACAGATGGGCTCTGGTATCTGTTTTATCCCTGTGTGTATGCCTCTGTGTCTACTTGCCCTTTTTTTGTTATTATAAGAAATCTGTCAGAAATAATTGGAGCAAATGGTTAAGCACTTGACTACTAGCCTAAAGGTTGACAGTTCTAACCCCCTCAGAGCTCCTCAGAAGACAGGCCTGGCAATCTTCTGAAAAGTCACAGCCTTAACACCTTATGGAGCAGTACTACTACTCTGCACACATGGAGTTACCATGAATTAGAATCAACCTTCAGCAACTAACAACAACTCATAAGTGATTAGTTTTAGGATCCACCCTATTCAGGTGTGACTTAATTAACATAATAAAAGAAAACCCTATTCCCAAAGAAGGTCAGGTACAGGGGTTTAGATTTCAACATAACTTTTGGGGAAATTCAATTCAGTATAAAATAACTGTCAAGCTCTGGTGGCAAAGTGCCTAAGGTATTTGACTGCTAAGCAGAAGGTTGGCAGTTCAAACCCAGCAGCCACTCTGTAGAAGGAAGACGGGGCAATTTACTTCCGTAAAGTTTTACCACCTCAGAGACCCAATGGAGGTCACTATGAGTCAGAATCCACTCGATGGCAGTGGGTTTGCTTTTTATTTTTATATAACAACTACTATGTACTAGTCATTTTACTAAACTATTGGGATGCAGTAGTGGGCAGACATAATCATTCCCTTCCTGGAATATATATCCTGGGGAGCCTGAAGAGTTTAAAACACCCTTTCAGTGTGGTCACACAGCCAAGTGGTAGAAGATATCAAATCATACTGTTTCCTATGGAGGCTCCTATATATTTCATGACATTCAACCTATGGCTCTAGGCTGTTATACAACTCTACTTTATCTACTTCTGATTAACAGGTGTGATTCTGAGCATAGTGGTGAGCCCTGGGGAAGGACAAAAGCCTGCTTATCTCCTGATTCTGAATGCCAAGGACTTGAGTGAAGTTGCTAGGGCTGAAGTGGAGATTAACATCCCTGTCACCTTTCATGGACTGTTCAAAAAATCCTGAGTGTGTTCCAACAAAACACTGGAAATTCTGCTTTACTTTTTAAACTTGTGACAAAACCAGGAAAAACATTGTTTCTAGTCTGCAAGCAAATTCTGTTCAATTTTAGCCTGCTGCATATCACTGTTTTAACTTGCAGATGCACCCAATTTTGCAATGTTTTACAGAAAGTACTGTTGAACAAGCAATTCCTTTTAAAAGGTACACATTTAGATAATCATACTTTCTCTGTGAGGTAGACAGACCACCTTTTTATATATTTGATAATCAAGTAGGAATTGAATATTACTTATTTAACTTTTTTATTATTAGAAAAGTGTATATTAGGTGCCTGTCTACTCCTATTGTTTTTTTTTAATACTTAAACTCAAAGTCATCTACAACTGATTTATATGTGGCTTTGCTGAGTCAAGTTGGTATCATGCAAAAAGATTTAGTTATTAAATGTCAAACCAAACTTTTTCTCTAACCAGGGGCCATCATCTAAGATAATCATAGTGATTATGCTGCATAATCTCAAAGATTTGCAACTCCAACATTTCTATTTAATAGGAGCAATTACTATTATTTCTGATTTTACAATGAGAAAATATATGTCTAATTAATAAGGGCTCTCAACCAAATGAATGTTCAGAGTTAAGTTTTATATTAAAACTGTATGTAACATCAAAGCAAATACTTATAATAGTAACTGCAATTTAAAAAATATAGCATAAATTACAAATATAATTCCTACTTAGAATAAGGAATAGTGTTGAGAAGGTATACATTGTCTCCTCTTCTGTTTAATCATGCTTAATTTAAGTACAATGTCATCATTTGATAAGAAAGTGAGAAAAAGAAAAAATATTAAATCACTACACTTCAGGTAAAATACATTTTAAGCACTTTTGGTTTATAAATTACTTTGCTCTCTTCTATGTTACATACTGCAAAAACAAAATATCAGGATTGATTGCATTCTTCATATTCTTTCTCTTAAACTTGGTGTTGTAGTTAAAGTTATAAGTCTGGTTTTGAGTGGTTGGGCAGCTGGATGTAGTTATTCCCCATGATGAGATAGATAATTAACTCCATGGTGGACTCTACTGGAGCAGCTGAGTAGCTGCTTTAGGGACATGGTCTGTGTCCAGTATATAAGAAATTTTGGAACTAGTATGCAGCTTTTGGCACATTTGAATCCTGCATGTAGCTGAGTCATTGTTCAGCAGCCTGCCATGTTGTCTGCTGATCTTGGGACTGTTAATGGACTTGAATCAGTGGCCTGACATGTGGTTTGATAATTTTGGGACTGTGGCTTTTTACTTGTCAACCTTGGGTTTGCCAGCCTCAACAGCCAGCAGTTGCTTGAGTTAAGAAAAGCCTCCAGCTCCAGTAGGCCGGGAGTAAGAGGAAGAGCTGAAGCCTGTGGTTGATGGGCTTTCACCCAGCCCCTAGAGCTAGCTGTGACTTCTAGCCTCCTACATTGTAAGAAAATAAACTACTGTTTGTTCAAGCTATCCATTTGTGGTATTTTTCTGCTAGAGAAGTATTGAGTAACCAAAACATTTGGTATCTATTTTATGCTCACAGGATTATGTATCATCATAGTTAAGATGATCAGCTGGTATTTGACTAGATAAACATAGTCTGAAGAAACAGACTGACCAGGGTACTTGAGGCATCCATTTAGTTTCTAAACAAACCAAACTCACTGCAATTGAGTCAATTCCAACTCATAGCATTTTACTCCCATTGAGTTTCCAAGGCTGTAAATCTTTATGGAAGCAAACTGCCTCACCTTTCTTCCTTGGAGCAGCTGATAGAGTCACCAATCATTTAATAAACAGCCAAACGCCTTAACCATTAAATCACCAGAGCTCCTTTAGTTTATCTAGGTAAAATGTAAACTCATTTTTTTTATTGTAAGTATTCATTAACACAAGCTTTTAAATAAAATCTAAAAATACAGAGATGTCAAAATTACAGTAAATAATAAAGTTGTAACAGCTCATCTCAGCTCAACATCTATTAAAATTTAGGTACTAATATTTTATACCTTTTTTTCCCCCTCTGTGAACTGTTAAAATGGTAAATCTCATTTTTTTTGTGGATAATTCCTAGATAGAACAAGAAATATTAAGATAGAAAAGGGAAAATATTAAAGAATTGCATGCATTATATGATTACAGATAAACATCAGTACATTGATTTTTGTCTCTAGGCATGGATATAATTCCACAAAGAAGGCTGATCACCCATTTCTTTAAAAAAATGCATAAAATAAATAACTGAATAATTACTAAGTTTAAGACTTATGAAAGTCTCTAAATTTAAATGAATTCCTACTTGATAGTTGCAAGTCACTCCCTGCCATCTTTCCATTCATCTTCCATGAAGCCAAGTCTCACATTTTCTTGTGCCTTGATCTCCTGTTAAAAGATCTGGCTCTGAGCATGGTGCTCTCAGGCCACCACCACAGAGTTAAGAGGGGGGAAAGGCAGAGAAGGCTAAAATAAACTTGTGCCAATGCCATTTTATTTATAATAAAATTATTTATACTTGGAAAGCTCAATTATAATCACTGCTAATAGTATAGCAAAAAGGCTCAGGAGCTTCTTTTCAAGTCCTAAGACAAAACATGGGCTTCAGAAACTTAAAGCAGAATAAGTGAGATTTAAGTTATGCAAGACAGTAACTTGGGAATTTAGATTAACTGAATTCAGGAATTGGCTACCCATCTAGGGAATCTAGAGAAACATGCCCCATCTATAAACAAATCTGATTTTTTTTGGGGGGGGAGGGAATCAATTGAATTAAGATAAATAAATCTATTTAAAAAATAATTATGCTTACAATACCAACTTGTTTGGAGTCCATTTTGTTTTCCGTTTTAAGTTCCTTATGAGTCAGAATCAACTCAATGGCAAGGCTATGTTTGTAATAGCCAAGGGAAAGAATAATCAAATCCTTGGCACAATATCATTAAAAGCTAGTTAATAACTGATATGTGCCTCATAGTAGACAATTTAGAAGGAGTCTCAACCAGGAAAGACCAATAGACAGCAAAGGCAGTCCACCTTCTGAGAATTGTGTGTCAATATTACTCCATCATCCCACAGCCTGGCTAAGGAACAAAATGCAGTATTTTCTTCTGTTAACGTGATAGGAGGAGTATCAATGAATTAGGAATATAAACAAGTTACTTTTCTAATGAGTAGTGAGACTTAAAACTGAAATTTAAACCTCACAGTTTTCCCTGACAATTTGGTTTCTGATACTTTCTGAAATATTCCTACGAATTTAAAATTTGATACTACTTAGTCGCCTAGTTTGGGTACAAATAAAATATTAACTGTTCAGTAACTCATTCAAGGAACATCTTGGCCCACTTGAATATAGTTTTTAATATTGTATTTAGTATCAGTATCTTTATAAATCTGGTCTTTATTTATAGTCTTTGGGGTTTAGAAACATTACATATAAACTTATATTGTAATACATGCATAAAAAAATACACAAATCATTTTTAAAAAACAGCCTTAAGTGTTGTTTGTAGTAACTTGAATACATAGTAAATTGAGGACTACCTGTAGTTCTCTTGTAGCAAGTATTTATTATGCCACGCACTCTACTAATTGTTGTTGTTATTGTTAAGTGCCATCGAGTTGGTTCCAACTCATAGTGACCCTATGTACAACAGAACAAATAATTCCCGGTCCCATGCCAGCCTCTCAATCTTCACTATACGTGAGCCTATCATTGCAACCACTGTGTCAATCAGTCTCAGTGAGGGTCTTCCCCTTTTTGTTGACCTTCCACTTTACCAAGCATGAGATCCTTTTCCAGGGAATAGTTCCTTCTGACACCATGACCAAAGCAGGTGAGATGAAGTCTGGCCATTCTCACCTCCAAGGAGCATTCCTGCTGTACTTCTTCCAGGACAGACCTGTTTGTTCTTCTGGGTCCATAGTAACTTCAGTATTCTTCTCCAACACCACAATTCAAAAGCATCAAGTCTTCTTTGGTCTTCCTTACTCATTGGCCAGCTTTCACATGCATATGAGGCAATTGAAAACACCATGGTTTGGGTTAGGTACATCTCAGTCTTCAAAGAGATGTCTTTGCTCTTCAGCATTTCAAAGAGGTCTTTTGCACCAGATTTGCCCAGTGCAGTATGTCATCTGATTTCTTGACTCCTGCTTCCATTGGTGTTGATTGTGGAACCAAGTGATATGAAATCTTTGACAACTTCAATCTTCTCTCCATTTATCATGATGCTGCTTATTGGTCCAGTTGTAAGAATTTTTGTTTTCTTTATGTTGAGGTGTTATCCATTCTGCAGACTGTAGTCTTCGATCTTCATCAGTAAGTGCTTCAAGTCACCTTCATTTTTAGCAAGCAAAGTTGTGTCAAATGCACAGCGCAGGTTGTTAATGAGTCTTCCTCCTATCCTGATGCCATGCTCTTCTTCATATAGTTCAGCTTCTCAGATTATCTGGTCAGCATACACATTGAATAAGTATGTTGAAAGGATACATAACTGACGCACCCCCTTTCTGATTTTAAACCATGCAGTATCCCCTTGTTCTGTTTGAATGATAGCCTGCTGGTCTATGTACAGGTTCCTCATGAGTATAATTAAGTGTTCTCAAATTCCCATTCTTCTCAATGTTATCCATAATTTGTTATGACGCACAAAATAAAATGCTTTTGCATAGTTAATAAAACACAAGTAAACATCTTTCTGGTATTCTTTGCTCTCAGCCAAGATCCATCTGACATCAGCAGTGATAACCCTAATTCCATGTCCTCTTCTGAATCTAGATTGCATTTCTGGAAGTTCTCAGTCAATATACTGCTGCAACCATTTTTTAATTATCTTCAGCTAGATTTTACTTGTGTATGATATTAATAATATTGTCCAATAATTTCCACATTCTGTGGGATCATCTTTCTTTGGACCAGATAGATACAAATATGAATCTCCTCCAGTCAGCTAGCCAAGTAACTCTCTTCCAAAT